TAAAATTATCGTAAGACAAAAGTACTATGCCAGAAACCTTCCCAGGAGTGTACGGAACAACTTCCCAAAGTTTCATGGCGATCGGTTGAATGGTTTAGTAATGCACTAAGGACAAACAGACGGACAGACAGACATACATTCATTTTTATATATATATAGATTATATTTTTCGGACGTCAATTTACGTTTTGTCGTTTTCACTCTGTAAACAATAATCTATTTTTGCCACCCCTTTTATGGATCAAGTATGCTGAACATCGATACCAAGAGTTGTTTCATATTACAAAGAACAATTAGATGTGAAGTTTGGTCGGTTTTCCTTAATTAGAAGAGTATTTTTACCTTAATATTAAGTTTACTTTAGTGGGAATGGGGTAGCAGTGGGTGAGCACGACTTCCAGAGCTCAGATTCGAATGGCTAGTAATTTTTCATCAGTCGTGGATCGACTCTGGGGCCAAGAGACTCTCCTGGGGCACACCCAGCCTCTATAAAGTGAGGTACTCTTAATTAAATAATTAATTATAGGGGAAACCTGACGTTTGAGCGTGATATCGGCCGAATCACCTTACAGTCGTTGCCCTAACAACAGTTCCACCCGTAGTACTGAACCGAAGACCTTTCATGGGCTGTTAGTGGTACAGATTTTTTTTTTTTTTACATGAAGTATTCCTCTTTACATCCAGGAAAATGAAGGTTCGAATAAACTGGGAAGAGTATTTAAAAAGTTGACTAAAATGAGCTAGAATTATTAAAATGCACATTAAATTATCATGTTTTTCTGCTCCCATAATTTTAATTGCTGTGTTGGCGAGCAATAAGCTGATGCTAATGGAGATCTTAGTTCTAACAATTGTAGAAGACATCGTGATATTCAGCTAAGAAAGGCTTAGGCAGATGATGGGGTAATTGTCTCTTTTTCAGATCATGTATGAATAATTTTCTGGATAAATAGTGACTTTCCAATGCAAAGATCCACAATGTATATTATGGAATGAAATGTTTCGGTCATGAGGAAAATCTTATTCTTGTTTCAATTGTTCAAACATCTGTGAAAGGACATAAATTATCCAAGCTCTATTAAGCCTTCTGATGTAGGATTCGCAGTTATTTAAGATGGAGTTGGAAATAATTCATGTGGGAACCTGACTATAAGCAAGAGAAGTCGAAAACATGTATTATCAACGCGATAAATGTGTTGCTCCGATTTTTCTTAATTTACTTCATTTGCGTTAATTTTGTTATTATTGAAGGAGTAGGTCCCTGAGCCATTTTCTTTTTAATGTGCGTCGAGAAGGAAATTGAAAGAACTAATGGATTCAAGTTTTGAACACATTTGAGTTGAAGAATCAAATGTAATTTATTTGTCGTGGATTTTACTGTTTGTATATTAACTCGTTATGTTTATAGTGTTATTTGAAAAATAGATAGATAGAAGATAGAAAAAAAAACTTTATTCTGGGACTAAGTCCCTTCAGAATAACAATAATGTACAAAATAATAGAATATTACTGGCCTGAACGTTGAAACAATAAATAAAATTGATAACATAAAATAAAAAGTAAAGAAAACCTTAGGTGCACAAGCTATATACAAACAGATAAAACTATGTACAGAGCATTTAAAATTATGAACAAAACAATTAAAACTATGAACAAAATTATATTTAAGGGTTGAACAACATAAACATACACTTTGAGAAATGAAGAACGAAAAAGAGATACAATGAGTTCATTTCATAAAAAAAAAAAAACTTTACTTGAATATATATATAAAAATAAACAGTTACTTATAATTGAATAAAAAAAAAATGTATGTATTGAAATTCCTACGTCGATAGTAGGAAATGCATGTACTATCTCTTACCAAGTGTTATGATTATATGATTGCTACACAATACATATATAATATCAATAGTTAGCTGGTATCAGACTGTTTTTGGAACAGGAATTGGAATAGGAGGTTTTTGAATGTATACAGGGAAGGGGCATGTCGAATTTTGATCGGGAGGGAATTCCAAAAGTTGACAGAGCGGGCTATAAAGGAATTTTGGAATGAGGCAGATCTATGAGAAGGGATGTATAGGTCAGAGGGTCGGGATCTTGTAGTGAGTGAATGGATTGAGGACTTAAATTGGAGAAGGTTGTAGGCATAAGAAGGACGATGATCGATAATGATTTGATAAAGGAAAGTGCCAAGGAAATATTGTCTTCTTAAGGATGGGAAGAGCCACCCTAACTCAGTGTAGTGGTGGGAGACATGGGAGTACCTCGGGGCACCAATTACAAATCTTACGAAGCAATTCATAAGTCTTTTGAGTCTATCACGCAGTTCCACCGAGAGGCCATCGTACACCACACAGCTGTAGTCAAAGTGGGGAAAGATGAGAGAGGAAACTATGAGTCTACGGGTATTTTGGGGTAGAAGATGGCGGAAGTGATGGTAGGAAATACCATAGTACATTAGCAGTTTTTCGTCGATTTTTGTATTGTGTTGTTTGTATTTTATTTATGTATACCTGTTTTGTTAAACCCAAAGTTCTACCTAATTGGTCTGAGTATAGTATAAGATCAGTCTCTTGTTTCGTAAATTAAGTGAGGACCTGCATTCCAGAAGATGCGTGAGTTTGTTATATCGTCTAATCACCCCATGTCTTTTGAATTTCTTATGTATGTTCCAAGTGAGTCTTTTTTCACAGTAGGGTCTGAGGTATCGTACATAATTTTTTTAATGTACTGAGTTTCTGTCAATAAATAAAAGTCGTCATGAGGCTTTTCTAGCCGGATTTGCTACCATTTAATTTTCCATTTTTCATATCACTTTGCAAGGTCATAGTGGTGCTTTTGGCATGGAAATTGATGCGATAGTTGGAATTTTGTGGAATGACAGAATTGAGTTAACTTTAATTTAAATTTTCGACTTGATTCAAATGCCCAAGTAAAACATATCTGACGGTAATTTTCTGGTTTTAGACTGTAATTTCTAACTAATATTATATATTGATTTTCTTGTTTAGACTTTTTCTAGATAAACTAAAAAAGCAAATTCATCAAAATTACTAATTAGTAATTAGCTTAAAATTACGGAAATAACTCCTTGTTAATTTAACTTTTCTTCATGAAGCGATCGGTCGAAAACCAATCAATAACTCTTTTTTCGTTTATCTTTTTCCCTCCTCATCGGGGGCGCAATTTGGAACAGAATGGAACCCCCTCTTCCATGACCAGACAATAAGCCCCGGTTTCACAAGTCAGCGGCTCTTTCAATTAAATTCTAAAAAACAAAAGTTTTAAATACTCCTTTCTTCCCTCCAACCGTGATGTAATGGATGTGTAATTTATCAGCTGGCCAGATATTCAGTGCTTTATTCCAAACCTTTGAGGTTTAACCGGTGGAGGACAGCAAAGCTAGGGGCTGTTAGGTATTATCAGATTTTATTAAAAATTCATAATGTTAGAAAACCGTCATGTGGAATTTCCAATTCAACTACTGGGGCTGGAAAGTGGGTCTTCAGTCACCCATTTCCTGATTCTTAGGTTATAGTCCATGGTACAGACCTTGGACTTCGTAAATAGTTTCACCTCATCGTAACCTACAACTATTTTATTTACGAAAACTCCTGAAATTCGGTTATTTTCAATCTGGAGAGGGGCAAACTTTGTCTATTTAATTAGTTACTAAAAACTCGTAAATACCCATTCGCTTTCTTCTTGGATCGTAAGATAAATTGATCACAAAATCGATAAAAAATGTGGCCTACAAAAATATTGGGCCATTTGTCCTACATAACATCGTTATTTTGAAAATTTGAGGGTATAGGTCACGCCAAGCGGCTCAATATTTTTGGAGGTCACCTTTTTTTCGACTTTGTGATTAAATTATCTTACGATCCAAGGATTTTAATTTGATTTTTAAAATTAATTTAATTCGATTAGGAATTTAATTCCTCAAGATGGTCTGTAAACTTAAAATTATCCGCACAGTATGAATGAATTAGATTTCCTTCTTCAATATCTATTATTATGTATTATTTATCAAAGACTCATTTACTTAACTTAACTATTAAGGCCTATTTGAACATATGGAATTGAGATTTTGGACTCCGCTAAACCACCAAAATCCTTAAAATCCTCATGATATCCTTAATGTTCCATATCTTTCCGATTTTTCCCAATCCAGATACCTATTCTTCCATAATGAACTTCAGGCCCTTACAAATCCACTAGTTTCTAACCTTACATCCTATCCGGCAATCCTCCTAAGCGTCTGAAAATATTATAGTCATATTATCAATTCACATTTACGTGGTGTTATTATTTTCAACAATCAACCCTCATAATCTACCAATAAAAAAAATGTAACCTCCTCCCCTCAAAATTTGAGGTTTTACGTTTCAAGATAAGGAGATTCCGAAAATCGAATTAAAAGAAATCCGTCCTTCTATCACCCGCAACTTTTCTCTGAGGCTACTTGATAAATTATTTTGAGATTCGGTATCAAAGTCAAAGGATGATCCTCGGATCACGGCATTACTATCCGCCCTTTCTTTCAAATATGGCGGCCGTAAATCATGTGTCGCTATAGACTGTAGCACCTAAACTAATGTACCGATTTTAATGAAACTTGGACCAAGTTCATATATAATCCTCATGCTCTGCTGTTCAGCTGATTTCCTTCGTTTTTATTTTTGGAAAGTCTTACATCACCTGGAGAAATTAAGGTTGTCTATATTTCTTAGCAAATTACTAATGATGAAAACAAAATTATTAAGGCCTATATTAGGAATAATGTGTTATTTATTTTCTGTATGTGACAAGGAAAGTAACGTTAAATATGATATATAACAGTTGTAATTTTCAATAAAAAAATTTAAAAAAGAATTAGGGAGAAGAAAGATATTTCAAGTGAGAGTTCTCGCAGGGCTGTTTGTTTTTATTAATATTAGATTAGTTTTTATCTATTTATTTATAATACATTTTAAATGTTAAATATTGTGTTGCAGAGGTAACGGTTGCCTGGCGAGCTGGGGTGCCATATGCGGCTTTATGGTGATGATGGTCCTGGAAGTAGCACTGCAGTAATACCACCTTGTCATCCGCCATTTTGTAAAGAAACTGCGATCCCGGCAATAAATACTTATATAAAATAAAATGTTAGTTTTAGTTTACAATTGTTTAATATTTAAAAAAAAAATATTATATTTATATTTTTGAGGAATTTTTATTTATTCTATTCTTTTTTTTCTCTCTATGCGATGAAGGATTTTAGTAATTTTTATAATTGTACTTACTTATGTGCTTTAATTTTTTTTATTATTTTTTTTTTTTTTTTTAATCAATGTGCTACTATTTTTGTATGATATCGTGCCGACGAATTGTCCGGTTTTTTCTTTTTATGCATTGGTGCTCCATTTTACATTAAATAAGCATTGTTACGTTTTATTTGGTTAAATGATTTATCATAGAATATTATTGTGCTATATTAGAGAATTATACTTATATTAATTATTTTATTCTGGATTAGTCAAATTTATGTTAAAGAGAAAAGCAGACACACGATTTTTATAACTTCAAATTGGATAACTTTTTTTATTATTCCTCTGTTAATACAAGAGTATACAAACACCTGCTTCTACAGTATACCTTATGACCTTTATTCTGTCTAGGCGCTTTCATTTTGTTTTATAACCAAATCCATATAGAAAACAAAATAAATTTTATATTTTTACAAAGCGTCCTGTTGGCAAAATTTACCTTTCTCGAACGGCTGGGAATGTTAGGTTTATATCCAGAGATTTACACTCTTAATAAAAGGTTAGCTTATTGATTATTTATAAAATTTACTGTTTTAAAATAATTTATTTGGGGCTCGTTTTGCCTTGAGGCTATTTTTTTATGTTCGCTTGGAAAAGTTAGATAGCTTTCAGAATCGTTATACAACACTAATTGTGATTTTTTTTTTTTTAATAATTTCGAAGCACAATATCGGTGAGCTATCATTGAAATATTTAATAAAAAGTGTGGAGTATAATACTATGGCGTAAGTAGCAGCAGATTATAGTGTTTTTCATGTCACCTAAAATAGGTGGAAACTTATTATTGTTCCAAATTTAGTGGTTATTGTTATTCAAAGTATTATTATTTTTATTTATTATATTCAGAATCATATCATAGGCCTATTCTTTAAGCATCAGTTGTAATAAAGTTCCTTTTAAATTCCAATTTTTTAATTTAATAATTTTAGTTTGTTTTCGCGTGAATCGTTCAAAAGTTTTGATATTTGTCATTTACATTTTGTTTTAAAATTAATCATTCCTCGTCTTTTCATCCCACCAAAGCCACTCATCCATTTCAATGAAGCTTTTAATCTTTAAAATAGAACAGGTACAAATATTCGACACTTATATTTTTTTAAGTCTTCGTTCAGAAGGATGGAAATAACTCCTTAAATGTAAAAGGTAGATTTATTATGTTATCTTAAAAAATTATAAATGAAAGATGTCTTAAAGAAAATGGATTAAAGCATTATTTTGAGTCTGTGAAATAAAATATTTTGTTGAACATACAAAATTTTTGATCGATTTTGGCGTTTGTTACGTCTAAACTCAGACTACAGTACCCTTTGGTCAGCCATCTTGAAATATAATAAACATAACTTCACTGAACGTATTATAAAATAAGAGGGATATTTTAAATAACATATAAATCAAGCCTTCCTTATAGTTTTAATTAAAGTTAAGGGTGGTATAAATAGCAGTTCCTCAAACTCCACTAGAGGTTTTCATCAAAAAGGAATACTTTAATAAAACTCAATGAAAAAGGACTCCTTTCAGCCAATTTGATTGCATAGACGCTTCTATAAAACAATAACGTTATTGTAAATAGAAACAGTTTACTTACTCGATGCTTAATCTATTCTTTAGCAAGTTTCCATGCCAATAGTTAAGAGAAGGAACAACAAAATCAAAATCGCTCTGCAATAGTTTAATAATATTAATTATTCTGAAATGAGTAATTTTTCATAAAAGTATTCCTTTTTCAAGGAACGTTCAAGTGGACTTAAAGGAGAAGAGCTGTTGCATACCACCTTAAGAGATATTTTTCATTCATGAGGAAGATCCATCGCCGATAAAAAATAATAATAATGATAATTAGGTGTCAAATATTTTTATTAGTTTTATAATTATGCTAAATTTTAAAATAATTATTGAAAATCATCTAACTAATAATGACAGTATTTATATTTCATTATTTTTCACCTTGTTTTTTTTAAACTACTTTTTTATGTTACTATGTTTAAAAGCTTTTGCTGTTATCGATTCATGCATTCAATTAACATAAACATATTTAAATTAACAACTCGTTTATCTTGCATGTTAATATTTTTTTTCTAATTCTTCATTTTAGGATTGGATTATAAAATGCATTCAAAATTGAAAATATAAAATGCTTCATTTAAGAGTTCATTTGAAAAGGTAAATAAAATAAAATTTATTTTTACATCTAATGTAAATTAAAAACTTTTCCAAAAAAAAAACTTCCATCTGTAATGAATTGCGGACTTAAATTCTTAATAATTAAAAAATACTACGATCTTATTCTATTTCTAATTTATTTTTTGCTCTTATTTCTTAAACTATTGCTCTATCAAACAAATTAGGTAATTATTTAGAAATAAAGAATAAATAAAAAAGATTCGTCTTCACATCGTTATCGTTACCTCAATTTATAGGAAAATGAAATAAACCTTTTTGTATGTCCGTATGCATACAAGACTTTTCCCACCTAGAATTATTTTTATAACAAGTGACTGATACTCAGATTTGTAATTTTTGTCATAGAAAAGTAATTAAAAACATATCACAGCTTTATTTTGATAGTGACTTAACTAAAAACTATTTTGTATTGAATATTTCCCAAATATAGTTACGTTTTACCATAGACAACGGTCGCATCATCATTTACTCTATTTAGTCATCGTATTTCATAAACAGTGCTAGATGGATGGCTATTTTTTTTGTAGTTATCAAGAGAACTTTTTTATTATCATTCATTTTATTTATCACTATTTTTTGTATAAGTTGTGTCACTATCTAACCAAAGGCGATATGTTTAATTTATATCCTAATTTTTTTTAATAGAAAAGTATTTATATTCGTATAGCAGCAATTTTACTTATTTTAATAACGAATTATATTATTCTATTTTATATTATTTCCTTTAGATGAAATTTTATTTTATGTAGCCTAAATTCGATTCGGCTCAGAATAATTTGTAAGTAGATTTATAAATTTTAGTATAATATGGGAAGTGTAATGGAAGAATAAATTGTTTTTATGATACTGATTTTTTTTTTTATTCCTATCTTATACCAATATTTTAAAATATATATTTGTACCAAAACCATAACTTTGAAATTTGAGTGAACCTAACAGTACAAAAACAAAACGGTGTGGGTTATGATATTTTTAAGTTGAAAGGCATTGTACAATAATGTTAGTAGGGGGTTTTTAACTCTGAAATTAATGCTCCACCCACTCCTCTGGCCAGAGAAAATCCCGTATAACCTAAAAGGTGAGAAAGGAGTGGACAAAAACAAAACAAAAACATCTGATTTCACTCAAATTTCCATTTTTTTTTTAAATAGATACAGAAATATATTTTGAATTATAATATATGTGTTTTAAATTAAATAAAATGTCATTATTATCATTGCCGTACTTTGGTACATGTTAATAGTTTCAGATAATAAAACAGAAAAGAAAAATCTAGAAATAAGAAAGGTGTACTAAGAATAATTGAAATCAATCCCGGTTCTTCTTCAGCTCTTAACGCCGAGAATTCTCACGGCTGTATTCTAATTGCAATGGTAAGTTTTAAATTTAATATTATTATTTCATATTTAAAGATGAAGTCTTAATTTTCATAAATATTTAAACAAGAATCTAAATTCTCTAATATTTAAATTTGCTACTTCTTCGTTGAGTGATCAACGGTGTATCAACGTATAACAAGCACAAACAGAGCTCTCTTGTCTCAAATGGTATAGAATTTTAAAAAATCTCTAGTTAAGGATTTGAAATGGTTAAACAGTATAAAATTCCGTGATTGCATTCCTCTAAAAATCAGACAGCTCCTTGCAACCTCCGTTATATTAGCCTACTTAGACTACGGCTGCTTGGTGTATGGAGGGCTATCTGCCAGGCTAGAAATGACACTGAAGAAACTCATGAGCTGTTTCATAAGATACATTTTCGGGATCCCCAGGCGTTCTCATGTTTTATGCTGGCACACCGAGTTGAAGTGGCTTTATACTACTTCCCGACAATTCTTCCTTGGTGTTTTCCTTTTCCAAGTCCTCAGAACCAAAAACCCTCCCTACATCCTGGAACTCCTTACTCTACGTTCCTCTATCCACTCTCTCAATACCAGGTTTAGGCTCAATACCAAATTAGATGAAATATAGATCTCAGTCTGTAGATTTATATATCCCCTCCCATAAAACTAATTTCTTCAGCAAATTCTTCGTCATTCGTGCTTTCTCCTTTTGGAACTCTCTTCCTACCTCTATAAGTCATTCCTCGTCCACAAATTCCTTCAAATTAAATTTTTTAAAAGGATTCAACGTTAATTATTACTTTCTTACTACTACTGGGCCAGGAAATTATGGATGCGCAGTTTTCAACGGAACTTTACGTTTTCAAAAATATTTTCATCACTTTTTGAAAGTCTATTTAATTTCCAACAAAACAAAAAAAAGGGTCGAATCGGATCAGTTTTATTTAAGTTACAGTGCATTTGGTTTTATAAGCAGGTTTTAATGATGGTTCACGAGTCTGTTTACATTGCTTTAGTTCATCATAGAAATACTACTTTTATCATTTCTCTAGCCGGTTTTCAGAAAATCATTCTAAATCAATTTATTATTTTTCTTGTTTTAATGGACATATTTCAAGCTGTATAAAATCAGTAGAAAAGTCGTGTGAGTGGTCACACCAGATTTTAAATTTTCGTTATCTATCCATGGTATATCATTATCACCAGTCATGTTGCAAACCTCATTTCTAATAAATTAAATTAAAACATACTATACTTCATTGACAATATCGGGTTATTGTATAAAATCCTTTTATTAAGACACATGAAGTTATTAAGGCACCTCATTTCCGCACTCGGGATGACTTTTTATAATTTTGAACTAAGAAGATGAATTTCTAAAGGCTATCAATGACAGACTAATCTTTA